TCAATAACTTATATTTTCATACTTACCCAATGCTGTTAGTCGTGAACAGATACCGTTGATAAGATTATAACGAAGCGTATAGTATCAGAGAACTAGAGTACCTACTGATATGGCTTTTAACCGCTTTTTACAGATTTGAAAAAGTGAAATTTAAACGATTGATTGATTTATACATAAAAGATAAGTAACTACCAATCTTGTTCGTAAAATGTACATTTAGACATACAGCTGTATCAATAGGATCATGTTCATTAGATCAGTCTAGGTATAAATCCTTTTGTCTTTGATGCATATTCAATCCATTCTTTACCAAACTTCTTGGTTAACTCTTGTTCCTCACGGATAACACGGCGTGTGATAAATAGTATCGGTATCGTACAACACATAAAAAATCCGGCAGGACCAAACAGAATCTGTATCCATGTCTGATTCGGAAGAAAGTTTGCCAAGCGTCGATGTACAAGAAACATTCCAATAACTAAGATACATGCAAACGTATACGATGGATGGCGTACATAAGCATATGGACCAGTTTTTATTAGTTTATGAGAATTACGAATTGTAAGTTTAAAGGTGAAAAACGATCCTAGCGTCCTGTAACACCACAATCTGCCTAAACCACCGATAATCATAAAAACATATCCAAGTACTGAAATAGGTGTAAGAGCCAAAGGGTTAATGAACGGTAAAGCTTCCGGAACCAATGTAGAAATTGAAGCTGGCGAAATGACTCGACTATATAAATATAACATTTGGTATACTGCAGAACTCCATATGATAAATTTTCCAAGTTTAGGTCCAAAGGATAATGTGAACGTTGAAGCAATATCTTCATATGGAATATAATCACCAGCGGAGACAACATTTGGTGTAGTAATTCCAATGTGGAAGAGCAATGTTGTAAAAATAAGTAGAAAAAGTTGAAGAACTGGGAACATGTTGTAATCGTAAGATAAGCTTTACACGTTGATTCACCGTGACAAGGCCATTTTTTTCTTCATCACACATTTTCATATATTAGTTTTTTTTTTTCGTTCTTGTATTAGAAAGAAACGAACAAGTTCGCCTTCGTTTGTTTATTATCTTGATACTATCGTTTTGTTTTCATCTAATACGTAATAAGTATTAGATGTTTTTTTTTCTCTGTATTATAAAGAAAAAAAAAGAAGCTGGTAATTTTATGAACAGAGAAGAAAGAAAAGACTTGACGTCAGAAATCCAACAATTTTCAACATATACAACTCTTTCAGCATTTGTAATCATCAAAGAATTAATGTTGCAATTTTTCGAACATAAAGCTATTTCTTCTTTTTGTGATAATCATAACAGAAAGTGTTTAGGTTAATCTAATTTAATTATTAAATCAATTTTGATCTAAAACTTCTTATACATGTATTACAAAAAGACATTTGAATAATTCATTGGCAATGGTATTGATAGAAGTTTGTAATTTTTTTGACTAGCACTTTTGTGTAACGTTAACATTTGGCTTCTAAAATGTTTCTTGTTCTGAGTGCTAAATGCATGAGAAAAAATTGATAGAAAAATTTTTTTTTTTAAATATATCGAATGAACTAATCAACAGTTTTTGAGTTTTTCATTTGTTTTTTTTTCTTCATATTATGTTGTACTAGAGCACTCAAAGGCAAAATATTACATTGATTGGTTTTACATTTGAAAATATATCTGAAAGTTTGAAATTTGAATCACTAACCATTTATCAGACACTCAGGCCCTCTGTTCTCTTCACTTGTATTAGTTAATTTCTATTGGTTAATTGTGTACTAATTCTCAAATAGTTTATAAACCTAACAACTCTCTCTGGTTGAAAAAACTGAAATCATCTGTGCCACGGAGTTTTTGCTAAACTACATCTCTTTCTTTTAATTTTGAAATCAGTTTGCTATTTGAATCTATCAAAAAAAGAAACGATTCGGTTTTGTATTTCTTTTTTTCGAACTTGTTGATGTGTATTTTCAATTCGTACTTTTCGTATTTTTTTGTTCTATGATAGATATAACATGTGCGTAGTTTCTTTTTGATTTTTCATCTCTGATTATTCAGAAGGCCATTTGATAATTTTTGAAATTGATAACGAACGTATATATAAGAGTAATTTGAATTTGATATTAACTATTATTTATAGTAAGAAGCTAATAGTTTGATTAAAGAAAATTTTTCTTTCTTGACGTTTTACCTAATCTTTGGTTTTGTTTTAGATATATATATATATATAATATGTAAAATAATGAATCGATTGATTCTTTTGTTAATACTTTGCTTTACTTTCTTATTAATCATTCAAAAATCGAGTGTACATGCTGATACATGTTTACACAATGAACGTTCAAAATGCACTCAAGTTCGTAATGCAAATGAAATAACGCATCAAGAGAATGATCAATGCAATCATTTATGTATTCAAGCAGGACATGCATCAGGACATTGTTCATTATCATCAAATTGTTTTCAATATTGTTTATGTCAAGAAAAAGAATTATAAAAACATTTTCCTTTTCTTTTCAAAATATATGTTTAAATGAACGAAAGTTGACACTTATTTCTACATAAATGACTTTAAAAATCTTGCTGTCACTTAGCCCTAAAATTAATAGTATTTTAAATGGTTTCATTGCTTCCAGATTATTCAATCGTTTTTTATATTGAATTAGTTTTTAGATAAATTGATTAATATCATTACACAAGAAAACCTCATTACTAGCGATTTCTATAGTATCAGTTCTATTATATTTATCAATAGCAATAAAGATCAAGGAATACAAGAGGAAAAACAATCATAGAGTCAAGGTATATACTTGTGGTGTCTATTTGGATTTGAAAACCATAGCTTTTTAAAATATTCTTGTAATTGTGGTAACATCATTTTGGGTTCAATATGAAGAAAAAATCTCAAGCTAAGTTTTGATCAATAAAATAGATCAAAACTATGACGCTAATCTTTATCTGTAACATTTCTTTACCAGATTGAAATAAACTTAATCAGTTTACTTGAAATTCGATACAAGGTCGATGAAGGATCTGTGAAATTTTATATGCACTATCTTTTTCCATTTTAAGAATTAATATTGAATAGAGTCGCGAAATAATCAAAAATCAATGATTGCATCTCAGGAAAGGTCATGAGACATATAAAGTCCAATTGGTAATAACGAATATCAAGATAGAATAGGTTTTATTAAATGGATATATTGAAATTAGAATGAATGAATATTTTCAAAATAATTACTATAAACAAAGTGCGATTTTAAGTACGAAGAGGAAATGATGCATCGTCACCATAAAAAGTTTGTGCGAAATCTGTATTAGACGAAGTTCTTCATCAAATAATATTATGTTGTACTGAATTTATTATGTTTAATAAAGAATACTATATGTTTAGCATTCTTTCTTTTTTGGTTCTTTTTCTCTCTCATCGTACCATTGCCATGTTATTATTCTTTTGAATGCAATCCAATCCGGTGCACAACTATTAATATGAAAAAAATAAAATTATTACCGTCAACCAAGAAATTGTCGTACTTTTAAATTTATCTTCTATGAAATTAGGTACAAGTAAACGAAAGCTGAATTCTGTGTACTTTTGACCTTTAATATACATATAAGCTTCCAATGAACAAATTAATGATGTTTATCCAACAACTAGATTTGAATCCTGCAGTCATTTTGTGACAATATCAAACTACCGTTGGTAAAGTTTACATATTGCCGAAAAACCTACTGACGGTTGACTGGTAATTTTTATCCAATTTGAATCATGTGGGTTGGTATTTCGGCATTACAATGCAAGTCATATGCCTTACATGAACATTCCAGTTCAGTACATACCAGTGATAGGAGCAGCTCGCGGTTTTCTTGCAATCGAATCGTTGATGCAAATGAGTTTATCTTTAAGAATAAGAATTATGCATGATCTCACATATTCCCTATGAAACTTAAGAAATTGTGTTTTCACACATGTCTTTGCAACATGCATCTCAATACGTGTGCTCTCATTCTGTACTCATGCGCAAAACTTAAAAATATTTACAACAGTTTGTATATGAGTTAAAGTGACTCGATCAATATTTTTGAAGTAAATGTATGTTCGTAAAAATGTCTCACAAATAAACGTGTGTTTTGAAGCTTTCATGTTTCACACGATTAACTAGTACTAAATATGATAGTGAAAAAATGCACTCAGTGATTTCTTCTTCTTCCTTAAGACACGATTATCTCTCAAGTGTCATAATCAGGAATATAGAGTAGATACTAGCATATCTACGTACTACCAAACTCTTGAGGCACCCGGAAATGTCACAATTAATAAATGGATTTTGATCACGAGACTTATAAACATATTACGTAGTAATTACGGAAGCGAAGAAAATATTCTTTGTTTTTTGCGATCAAATTAATTCAATCGTAATTTAAATCGTAGTCTCACAGAAGTTTCGCTGATTTATTTTTTAATGATAAATAGAATTATTAATTAGTAAAATTGCTAGTGAATATATAATCATTCAAGCTTAAAAAGTTTATTTTTAATAAAGCAATTGCTGAAATCAAACGTCTTAAATTCAAGTGAAAAATTAACATAAGAATTATTTACAGCATTATCTATTATAACAACTCGATTTTATGTTGTTTTTATCTTACTCATACACATAATTTAATCTACGCAATCATATTCTTTTTAGTTAAGTGACATAGAACTAGACTTTTTTTAGAAGATACCTAATACTTTAATTGTATATGGGACTAATATATCATAGAAGAAAAGTGTGTCAAACGAACAACTCGTTTTCATTCAGTATTGCCTGTCTACAAATCTTTTCATAACGAGTAGTTACTTCAGTTCATGTCTAACGAGTATTTAGAAAATAATGAGCAATATCTGTCAAAGAATTTAAATCAAAAGTGTTCTGACTAATAATAAAACAGCAAAATGTTACTTCTTTTTCAATTTATTATTTTACCAGCATCATTTGTTCGATATTGAAATGTGTTCATCTAATCAAAGTATTATTGAATTTTTACATCATGCAACAATTCAACTTAATCATTATTTATCCATTATTATCTATCTTTTTGGTACGATTGGTAACATTTTAAGTATTATTATTTTATCACAAAAAAAATTTCGTTCGAATTCATGTGCTTTTCTTTTTCTCACATCATCTATTGCTAGTCTTATTGCTATTTTATCTGGACTTACGAATCGAATAATAACTGGTTGGACAGTTGATCTAACATCTACTATTAATTGGCTTTGTCAACTTCGTGCTATGGTTTTATTTACTTCAAGAATGATTGCTTTATGGTTAATAACATTAGCAACTATTGATCGATGGTTACTGTCATGTGCTGATGTTCGTCGACGACAAATGCGCACATTAAAAAAGGCTAAACTGTATACAATTATAATTGTAATTTTTTCAATTTTATTTAACACACCAATAATATATTGTTTTGAAGCTAATGTGATTGGAACTCCGGTCGAATGCTATGGTAAAACAGCAGCTTGTCGTATTTATACTGATATGATATATGGATGCGGTACAATATTAGTTCCTTCATTAGTTATGACATATTTTTCTATAATGATTATCTGGAATGTGCGTGGAACACGACGTCGTGTTGAAATTTTCAATATAACGACAAATCATGCTAGAAGACAAAGACGAACAAAGAAAAAAGATCGTCAATTATTAATTATGCTACTTGTACAAGTTACTTTTATAGTTCTACTTACTTTTCCACAAGCTATTCAAAAATTATATACAACTATAACATTAGCACTTTACAGTTCAGTAAAATCAGCATTACAAACTGCTATTGAAGAGTTTACATTTAATTTTGTTGTAAATCTGACATATATTGCTAGTGGTTTACCATTTTATATATATACATTAAGTGGTGGAAATGTATTTCGTAATGCATGCTGGCACTTTATAAGAATGCTTAGTCGCAAAATAACTTGTCGAAATAATGCAATTTAAAATAACAATGCAGATTTCTTTGGATATTTTATCTTATTATGAATATTGTTTATAATAAAGTCAATTTTATTTCTTTTTTAGTTGCCTGTTTTTATTTGTTAATAAAAAAGAAGATAATGAAAAATAAAATAAGATTTCATTTTTATGGTAATTTGAATCGATATTTATAAAATAATAATTTTCTCAATTCATGTTCAGACTAGATTTAATTATGGCTATAGTTATTTTTTGTAAGCTCTGGAGAATGAAAAACTTTAATGGAGTTTTTCTAGGTTATTTCTATTCGACCAATGTTTTACTGAAAAGTGTAATGAAAAACTCAAATAACTGAATAGCAATTATGAACACCCTTTTTTCACACCAATCATCAAATTTCAATTACATTATATTTTTCAAACTTTATGAAAACATTTTATTCTCATTCACTATCAAAAACTGAATAGAAAAATATTATTTAATTAGATTTAGAATTAATGAGACCAAAACAAATCCTGTCCAATATAGATGGCTCAAACATGCATTATAGCACGCATTTATGAGTATTCTTGTAAATCTATTTAGTTTATTTTTAACAAAAAATAGAAGCAAATATCTTATCTCATTAGAATATCTAGGTCGTGAGCTACAAAAGTGCTTATTTAGTGTTTTTTTAGATTTTGTTTCATTGTTAAGAAAATAGAATTTTATTCCCATTTCGAGGCAAACTCAGATAAAAGAATAAAATAATTCACTCGTATTGAGTAATTTTTCTTACTATTATTCAATTTAAAACTTAAGAAGATAGTATATTTGGAATCAGCGTCAAAGCCTCCATCAAATCATATGCATTTTAAGAAATTTATTTTTCTATGAAAAACGACCCTAATAGGACTAGGGCAAACTTTTAGAAAAATACAACTAAGGATAATTCCAAATATGCTATGTTCTTCAATTTTAAATTGAATAGTAGTAAGAAAAATTGCTCAATACGAGTGAATTATTTTATTCTTTTATCTGATTTTGCCTCGAAAGGGGAATAAAATTCTATTTTCTTAACAATGAAACAAAATCTAAAAAAACACTAAATAAACACTTTTGTAGCTCACGACCTAGATATTCTAATGAGATAAGATATTTGCTTCTTTTTTTTTTGTTAAAAATAAACTAAATAGATTTACAAGAATACTCATAAATGCGTGCTATAATGCATGTTTGAGCCATATATATTGGACAGGATTTGTTTTAGTCTCATTAATTCTAAATCTAATTAAATAATATTTTTCTATTCAGTTTTTGATAGTGAATGAGAATAAAATGTTTT